CGTACTTATTATGCAGAAATGTATTGTTAGATAAAACCAAGTAATAATTGGGATATAGGCTTTTGAAAGCCAACATGTTCATACAGCAACATTTGTCAATATGCAGTTTTCTACGCAAAATAAATATGAAAATAACATATATAATGTATGAAAGGTGTATACACTCTTGAAGAAAACTGTCTCTTTTATCAATCTTTGGAGTGTTTAGTCGACCCAACGGGCATAAACTTTATTTAGTAAAAAAGTTACATCCACTACGTTTCGACCATCTGGATTGTGGTCCTTCTCAAGTGGTTTGTAATACTCAAAATTATGAAATTGCGTATGGTATTCTACAATAAGGGGAGACATGAAGAATAAGTGTTTTACATGTTCTGTTACAGATCTTGATGGGCATTAATTAAAATTATAAAATAACTCACATATAAAATTCGCGAGACTCACAACGCACATTCCAACACATCGAATTAAAATCATTGTCGAGTGATCCATCTGTAGGGTGCGTGTTACGAAGCACGTGTTTGTCTAGCGACGGATACATTCCGACTAACGTCAAGGTGAAAATACAAAATTATAAAGGAGCAAACATACATCGGAAGTCAGTAAGATAAAATACATTTCTAAACAGTGATACGATAAAAATAATAAAGTATAAACAGTGACAAAGATAAAAAATATATAAACAGTAACCAATAGTCAGGTCAGTGTTTAGTCTTAGTCAAGGCATAAAATACAAATTAAATAAAAAACGAGTTAGGAATTTAATTTGTATTTTATGCCTTCACTAAGTCTAAACACTGACCTGACTATTGGTTACTGTTTATATATTATGTTATCTTCGTCACTGTTTATAATTTATTATCATTATCGTGTCACTGTTTAGAAATGTATTTTATCTTACTGACTTCCGATGTATGTTTGCTCCTTTATAATACTGTATTTTCACCTTGACGTTAGTCAGAATTTATCCGTCGCTAGACACACACGTGCTTCGTAACACACACCCTACAGATGGATCACTCGACAATTATTTTAATTCGATGTGTTGGAATGTGCGTTGTGAGGCTTGCGAATTTTATTTGTGAGTTCTTCTATAATTTTAATTAATGCCCATCAAGATTTGTAACAGAACATGTTAAACACTTATTCTTTATGTCTACCCTTATTGTAGAATACCATACGCAATTTCATAATGTAGAGTATTACAAACCACTTGAGAAGGACCACAATCCGGATGGTCGAAACGTAGTGGATGTAACTTTTTTACTAAATAAAGTTTATGCCAGTTGGGTGGACTAAACACTCCAAAGATTGTTAACTATTTACTGGCGACATCAATCTCTTACCTTTGTCTTTTTTATGTTTTATTTTGTTATTACGGTAGTGTAATTAGTCTGTAAAAATAAGTAATTACATTTGTCTCTTTATTATATTTGTATTGATATAATAAATGTAACGAACATAATTATTTTTCAAATTTCTATATTTTATACTTCTACATAAAAAAAAATTAATGTGACACAAATATTACAAAACCTACTAAATACAATAGATTATAAGTTTTATAATGTATAATATATAACATTGTGTGCATGGCATAATGGTAAATATTGTGTAAATATGCTAACTGTAAAAAATCTCTATCCTAGTTATTACTTGGTATTTTCTAACAATGTATACAGGGTGAGTCATTTTAATTTATCACTCCTAATTACTTTTTGGTTTTTTGAAAACAAAATGTTTCAAATAAAAGTTGTTTGGTTCCGAGGGGGACATAAAATGGTTTTATTAATTTGACCTTGAATAGTTGCTTGAAGGTCACGTAAAGGTTACCTTCAATTTTTTTAATACGTGGTAGGGTCAAAAAGTTCCCGGAATTGGTTAATACAAATTTATTGAAAGTATGTATAACATTTTTACCTTAGTTTCCTTCAAAATACTCTCCTCCT